CCCCCCACGGCTCAAATTTGTTACGTAACGCTGAGCTTGACCCACCTCCCCTTTGTAACGCACCGTGACGCTGGCTCAAACCAACCTCACCCCTAAGTGCATTACGTAATACTTAAAGACTCCTTTAGTATTATGCGCTACACAGGATGATCCAAAGGTCTTGCCGTATTACCCCCGTAATACGGCAAGACCACCCGTATTACCTCTAGGGTTCTTGCCCCTTTTCTAACTGATCCCCTATAAATTTTGGGGGTCCTGAAACTAGGTTCCTAAATATAGGTTGATCTAGGATGAAGGAAGATAAGATAATGCTATATTGGATTGTAGAGCACAGTGGCTTTACAAATACGTCATAAATGCATATTTGTACTATAATTTCAAGCCCTTATCTTAATTCATTCAAAAGCTACAGGGGTGATGCCTGGTGATGGTGGTGGACTTTTGGATCACCCTGTAAGTATGCGTGTCGATGGACACCCTTTAATATCGATAATAATCAATAAATATAATAAATACGAGTGCGAAGTAATCAATGATGAAGATCCGACAACGCTTAAAACCTGTTCAATTTTTTAAGCTTCATAAAATTTAAAAAAATCGATAGTTGCATTGCAACACTACAGTATTTCCAACCCAGATGATACAGTTAAAGATCGTTATGGACTTCCTCATGGTCATAAGTCTGTCTAAACGTTGCTTTAAATCAAGCGAGTACGATTCCATACGTTCGTAAGGACTTAGACAAATGTTGCCACATTTCCATGCTTATGAACATCTTATGATAACGTAGCCAGGCTAGTATTATCTAGCTATAATCTCATTGTTTCAACGAGATGCATCATGTAAAATGAGACAAGGTAAGAATTAGAGCTCACAAGACATGGTCCCTCCTCAAAATTATAGAGCACGTATGGGTATATTAAAAACTTAGAAAATAATTCATAAAGGAAACATAAAACATTGTATGAAGTGTCTTGCCCCATCACCCCAAGCTGCGCCCCTGGATCAACCATTCAAATTCGATAGTTATGCTTAGAGCAGACATCAGTGGGAATCTTTCCATCAAGGAATTGTGCCGTACCGGTAAGCATTAGAGGCATATGTCGGATCAGATTAATTGGTTTTGACAGGTTGAAGTGCATGCGAGCTAATTTAATGGACTTAATCGCCCACTCAAGCCACATGCAACGGACGCAGCGCGCTCTATCAACAATGCAAATGAAATAAACAGCCCTTAATAATGAGGTCCTTTTTGCGCGGAGGCCTTCATCATCATGAGACAAAGCTGTCAGGTTTGTTTCGATTACTTTTACGCATTCATGGCCTCCTGTATCTTTTCATTGAGAAACAAAAGCTTCAAATCCGCGGAAGTCATGCGTAAGCTTGTAACAAACTTTCTTGAAATACATAAAAAATTGCGTGTTAAAAAAATCTCAGAATTCTTCTATGTGTCCTGCCGGCTGATTATTGATTTTGATAGACAGCGATAAATAAAGAGGACGAAAGGAAAATGGAGCGATCCTATTGGTGGAAATGGGTGGTTGCAGTGGACATAGGAGGTAAGTATTAGACTGAAGTATTAGTTTATAACAACCACTCGTTTCAATAAACAGGATCGCTCCATTTTCCCTTTGTCTTCTTTGTCTATCACTTTGTCTATCCATTTCAATAATCCGTTCCTTGTCCGTCTTGATTTTTGTGCGATTTCACTCATTGGGCCACTATTTTCTTCTCTTGCGTGCAGTGCCGTGGCGCGTTCTTTGCGATGTATCGATTGATCTGCCATTTAAACTTACGGAAGAAGATCGATAAACAGGGTGTTTGCAATGAACGCCTTAATAATGGACACTTTGATTTTATAAATATTACTTTTTTCAATAAGTTTAAATTTTTTATAAATCATATATAATATATATGTTAATATTTGCTTAATTTTATTATTTTCCTTAGTTATTTTAAATGTATTATCAGTTTCAAATATAGTCATATAAATTAGAATTAGGATCACTGAAGTTAATAGCTTCAAATGAGGAAATATCGAAAATCAATCATTCACGCCTCGCCGCTCATTGCGTGCACCAGACCCATTCTGCCGTGCTAAGGAGGAACGCCGTATGAACATTCGAGAGTTGCCAAATTTCCTTCACTAAAATGTTTATTTTTGAGGAAATTTATCAATATATTTTCTTGAAAATTTCAGGAACTTTAGGTGAAATTGCGAACAAGATTATCTGAAAAATTGTGAGAAAAATATCCGTAAGTTTACCAGGAAATTCGCGTTGTACCAAAGGAAATTTGGCAACGCCTGAAGGCTCATACGGCGTTCTTCCATAGCACGGCAGCATTAGCCTTCCACAAGAGTCATATGTGCGTAATTATTTGTTATTTTCTCGATTAGATTAGATTAGGTTTAAAATTGGGCAACTTGAAGTGATGCGACGAATCATCGCGTGGAATTTTGAGAATTCCCGCGTTTTCGTTCTGTGATGCATTAGCGGGTAAGTTTTTTTTTTTTTTTTTTTTTTTTTTTTTTTTTTTTTTTTTTTTTTTTTTTTTTTTTTGTAATGTGGACACAACGAGTTAGCTCGGATTAATGACGTCCAATTGCACGTGGAGCCGGAGCGACAAAACCTGCGGCGGCAACTCTGTTCCGGGTCAAAATCGCGCCGCCGCGGTTCTTAATGGGTTCGCGCGAAAATGACCGCTCCTCCGCAAATAGTTTGACCGTGAGATGACGTCTAATTGTTTGAGACAAGGTTGCTCTTTTGTAACTGTCTTTGCACTCCATCATCGGCGATACTGCACCTCCACCGTACCCTCTGCACGAATAGAAGGTGACTCGATGACTCCTTTCGAAATACATCCATATCCGAATCCAACTGCAAGGGAACTCAGACGCGCCATCATCCAACCTCCGCGTGAACCGACACATTCCCTGACGACTGACGTTCTAGCGAACTGAATATTGACATTGATAGACAAAGCAATTGATAAACCGATAGGCAATTTGTACTTTCAGTATAATAAATTTTAGGTTGAGACTTGTGCCTCTGTACCTACTGGGAGCAGTGGTCAAAACTCTCTTTGGAGTTTCAGGAGCCATGTGGCGCATCAAGCTCGATTTTTAGGGGCCATTGAAGATTTTTAGGGGTCAAATTGACTTTTTGCCTATGTATCATGGCGCATTTAGTGACAAGTTAGACGCAAGGTTTTTTAGTTACAGAACTAGTAGCTGTTACTTGCGCATTTGACGCTTTGGCGCCTGTGAGTTTCGAGCACTGCTGGGAGACTTAAACGCTCGTGTAGAAAAGTAGCAAAATTGTAACGCTTGCGAATCGAGGCGGAGACTAGACTCCTTCTATAATCAGACGTATTTCCTATCATGAAACTGTTTGAAATCATCTTATCAGCATAAAAATTGAAAGAAATTTTAAAATTTGCGTATCAAGAGTATAATATGGCGTTACATGGAAAAAGTATAGGTTTCGTCAAGTTAGCTGAATTTGATTTATGTTGTAAGATTGGCCTCCGTGATGAATCGTGTCTGATGTGGACTTCGGTACGGAAATCATAAATTAGGGGGTTTCGGTCCCCCAAAACTCCATTTTCATCCGGTCTTAAATAATGTTTAAAGCTAGTGTTAAACTTACATCCGCTAGGATTTTACTCACAGCAAGATTCACGACACTTGATTTCATTCTATCAGAGAACTGAGTATTTTTGAAAAATCTCGATTAGCATTTCCAGTTAGAATATATAAATGTTTGAATAGCTTACGATGCAGTGTAACAAGATTAGCGGTATGGTTTCAGGAAGCGAACGGTAGGTGACAAATAGGTATTCATATTGAACAGGGATCTCAGTGTTGCCAGCTAATCGTGTCAACTCACTATATCTTTGGGACTGTCATCTTCGACCAGTTTGACGACGTTAAATCTCTCGTCCGGTTCACACTGACTACTATTCTTAGGATTTTTAAGGTCAGCAGACGGCGAACACGTGTCGGTCAGGTTCACAAGCGCATGTTTACATTTTTGACCACGAAAAATGTTGCTCTTGAATTTGCGAGTAAAACAATACATATGTAACCCCGGTTACGCTGTCTTTAGAGCTGTCCAGACTAAAAATCCAGGAAAATGATTCTTGATTTCAAAAATTTATGGAGTCGTCTATAAATTACGTGACACTATAATCACGCGTTTCTGACGTACTGTTATTTCCGTAAAGCTATGTGACAGTCCATTGGACTTCCATGTAAAAAGTACGTTGCGCCATGACTCCAAATCATCCCTTACTTCAGTATAAAAAATAAAAATAATTAAGGTATGAGTAAAGTGTATACATTTAAAGTTACCTAATGATGATAAGCAGTTTGCCAACGACAAAAACATTTCCCCCATTTCTTGCATAATTATGTGATTCATGAAGCCTTTGCTACGCATAATATCGATGGCTCAAGCCGAACAGCGTAAGCCTATTTCTTGATATTTTCTCTTTCGTCCAGAAATATTCACAGGCCATTTTGAGGCTAGTTTGGAATCATTAAAAGAAGCTACAAATATTCAATTCGATTCCTAATCTGAGAACTAAGGAGGATTAATTATCCTCATCGATTCGTTAGATTGTCAGAGTTAAAATAAACGAGGATTATCTAATTCATAGAATATCAACTTTTTTAATAAACTTCTATTCAAAGCAACGACGAGAAAGCTACGAAATCCGTCGATTTGTCTTCAGTCGAAGCTCCAATCTCTTGCAGTTTACTTTTCAACTTCACATTCTATCGAGAATTGAGCGAATTTTCATAGCTCCCTGTTTACGATAATTGGGCGTGTATAGGCCAAAAAGAACTATATCGCACTTCAACCATAAGCCCATAGTTCCTTTTAGCATAGATACATCGGATTGGACAGTGAGCAGCTTCCAGCACGAGCCTGCAATTCAATAGCCAGAGAAGATTGGCTCAAAAAATCTATTTACGTCTTGATAGACTTCTTCATTTACCAAACATAGGAATGTAAATTCAATCCAAGGTTACAGAATTAACTCAAATAATACAATTTTGTTGAAAAAAACAAGGACTATGCAGTTTCCATCCAAAATTTTGCTGATTCTTGCGCATGTAATGATAGAAAAGTTCAGTGGTTAATTCAGGTGAAAATGATCATGGTTTTTAAGTATTTTAATTTAGTATACAATTTTAAGTGGGGCAAGTAATGTGCATGTATCTGATGACGACCAGCGATAGTATCTCTATGCACTTATCTACTTTTCTAACGCGGCGTTTAAGTCTCCAAACATATGTCAAAAAAGTGTTGAGGCTAAAAAATTAATGATATTTATTTTGTATAATTTTAATGTTATTAAATTTAATTTTATTTAATAATTTATATGAGACCCTCGAAAAAACTGTTAAATTTTTGTGGACAGTTTACAATTTTCATAAGAAAATTGTACTAGTTAGTATTAAACTGCTTACTGACTTGAATGCACATTTCTCACTCTCTTTAGAATTTTCTTACGGAAAATTCTGGAAAAATGCAGATGCCTACTCCAATGCTCAACTCTCCTTTTCTTCTGAATTAGGTACCTTAAAATCGATAGTAGATTTCTTCGATCAGAGCTACAGTTAAACGACAAACTGCGAATATATTTTTAAAAATAATACTGAAGATGAATCATAGCCGATCAAAATGATACGAGAAAACAAGGCACAAAATATCAGACATCGAATTCTCCTTATACCACATGTTATTATGGAATTTCATAACAACGGGATTTTCCACTCTAATTAAATGTAAAACAATCGATATCTATTTGGAGGGCCTGCCTAAGCTAGAATCAATTAAGTAATCAAGCATATTGAGCTTTTTCTTCCGTGATCTCACATTCCTTTTTTTTGCAGGATCTTGGAAAAAATAGATGTTTTCCTGTTGAAGTGCTGAATCATGGACTAACCGAACGCGTCACTGTCTCGCAGCCAGATCATGAATTTTGTGGTCCTGCTGTTGGGGAGACTCGAAGATTGTGCCAAGAACAGTGATTGGCAGGTTCATCGGTCTCGTTGTCTACAGTGGCGTGGCGTGAGCTGCGATGTATCGATTGTTATGCCATTTCAACCTATGGTAAAGAATCGATTATTAAGGTGCTCGCTGCAAACACCCTTTTTATCGATCCTTTTCCATAGGTTTAAATGGCTTAACAATCGATATATCGCAAAGCACGCCATGCCACTGGTTGTCTACTCTCAACGATCGCATCGGTACTGTTTTCAGAGACACGGCTTTCTTTAGCATATTTGCAGATAACGTGGCGGAAACGTTATGCACTCTGAGTACAATGAACTGTTCAAAATACTATAATTAGAATTATTTTAAAATTTTCCACGAGGAAGTTATGTGCAGAAGCAGATTAAGCGTTTTGCCCATTCCTTAGAGATTGAGTATATCTTGATCCTCGCATTCTGATTGGTCAATTTTTTCGACCGTAAAAACGAGCTCTCCTCACTCCAATGTGTTAGAGCCAAGAGTGCGCAAATGAGCGAACGAGATGCGGTATTTTACATTTAGTAAAACAATCCACAAAAAAGATGAGCGCTTTAGAACTAAGATGCTTGTAGAGAAGCCGGTATATTTTTTGCTCGTCCGCGTAGTTCTAGGTGTAAAAAGGCGACGAGTAAAATCCGCACAAAAAGTCACAACAGAGGAAGGAGGCAGAGCCAACGAAAGAACAAAGAGCATGCGCGCGGCATTGGCGTGGCGTGAATTGCGATATATCGATTGTTATGCCATTTAAACCTATGGAAAAAGATCGATTATCAGGGCGTTCGCAGCGAACACCTTAGTAATCGATTCTTTACTATAGCTTCAAATGGCGATAAATCGATAATCGATCTTTCACGCCACGCCACTGGCGCGCGGGGAAAAAAGGTGAGAGCATCGGAAAAAGAGTAAATATTTTTATTATTCTCGTCGATAATAGAGCCGGGCTGAAGGGCAAAAAAAGGAAGAATACAAGTTGACAATGCAGCGAATAACACTGGCAGGGTAGAACTAAAGCCCTGAAGAGAGTAAAAAACGGCATGGATTGCGACAAAAAAGTAATCTATCGCGAGGGAGGACATAGACGCGGTAAAAAACGACCAATAGCCCATTTAAATCCTTCGGCTTTCGAGCCACTTCACCGCCTCTAAATTAATCTGAGACACGTGGAGAACGAGAATCGCTACAGCCTTGAGATAGTTGTGGAGGGTTCCTGAAAAACACGTCGTAGGGAGACAAAAACCATTTTCGTCATTAAACGACCATACGTTAAATCGTCGCCCCTCTGACGTGAAGACGTATCTTAATTTCCACGTGAGCCCTGTTGAGCGTATAAATCCATGTTTTTTGGGGCTCATTCGGAAATCGAGATACGCCTTTACTCTCGAGGAGCGTCGAAATCTGACCCCTCTAATCTGCCGAGCTAGGGAAAAACGCCGTATGAGCCTTCAGGCGTTGCCAAGTTTCCTCTCGCATTTCACTAATTTTCAATAATTTTGTTGAAAATTTTTCTGCCAATGTATCAGATAATTTTGTTCGTAATTTCATTTGAAGTGTCGGAAAATTTCACGAGAAAATATTCATAATTTTCGTGAGAAATAAACAATTTATCCAAGGAAATTTGGCAACTCTCTGATGTTCATAGGGCGTTCTTCCTTAGCACGGATTTAATTTGGCCCTGCTCGAGAAAATAACGTATAAACGACCAGACATTGCCAATTTTCCTATAATGAACCCCAACATGCCCTAAATTGAGGATCTCCTTCATTAAAGGATGTATGAAGTTTGCAATGCCATTGAAATTGCGCCAATTTCCATAGAATTTTCAGCGACTGAGATTCATTCACAGTTGACTTAATTCCACACAGTAGCAAAGAAATATTCGGAGCAGATCCACAGAATAGTTCGTGGCAAAGCTTTTTGATCGGCTATTTCTAATTAAAGAACTACGTTGTACAATTTTAACAACATTGGAAGCTCATACGTCCTTTTATCGAAGAAGTCTTTTATTTTTGTGTACATTTTCTTCTGACTTTTTAGCAACATTTTTTCACAAATTATATAGAAATGCCTGAAAATGACAAAAGAGGAAAATGACTATTACTTTAGTGAGAGTGTACATTTTATGGGAGGAAATTTGGCAATCCCTAAATGATCATGCGGCGCGTTTATCCTCAACACATCAGATTGTCGCTGATTTTCATCACCGAAAAAGTTATCTTACGGTAATTAAGCTATAGAATCGGGTCGCAAAAAAAGTTGCCCTATTCTATGATGCCCAATCCTTGTAATTTAGTTTAAAAATGATTGGCACGATGAGAAAATCGTTATCCTAAAACGAATTGGAACCAATTTGGCGGCTAATTTGGTTCGAGCGGATTTTACATTCTGCCAATACGAGAGCCTCAACTTCAGAAAATCCAGATTTCTCACTCGTAGAGTTGAATTAGAAAATTTTCACTATGCAAGACACCATTTTCTATGTACAAATCTTAAAATAATTCGTGTAATGTGTTACTTTCGTAAAGTAACGATGATAAAAAAAAACATGAATAAAGATTCCGCTCAATAATCGACCGGTTGGCAACACTGGGTCCTGTCAATCTCGGTGCGATATTCAGGCTCGATATATATCGATATTTTTACACGTGTTCAAATGGATAAAGCACTGTGTTGCCAACTCGTACAAATTGCCTCTGTTCATTCGTTGTCGGGGCTTAAATGTTAAATCGAGAAAGACACTTACCGACGGCAGGTCTAAATATGGCGATGGGTAATCCTTTGCTTTCCTCTCTAACTACATGTTCGGCTAAGGCCTTTGTGTACGTGTATGAATTAGGCCAGGGTCCTAAAAATCTGTAAGCACAAGCAAGGCACATTCAAGTTTAAAAGGTCAATAACGAAATTTTATGCATAAGTGATTATTCATTCCATACTAACTATGTTTCAGCAGCGACTCTCACAACAAGACTATAGTGCCGAAATGTTAAGCACAAGATGTCTCTGATGCAATGCTTAAATTGTTGTTTCCTCCAAGAAAGAACGTAACTAAATTTCGATGTTGCCAAATTTCTCCCTGCAAATTGAAATTTTGGTTGTAGAATCTTGGGCATAGCTGACTTAGAAGTTCACTGTCTTTTCGTCTGACTTCATGCAAAAATCAGACAGATTTTTGACAAAAATTGCACAGGTGCATTCTTGTGAAAAATTTAATTGTTTGAGTCTTTGCAATTTTGGAATTAAGTTTCGTTCTTCCGTCCGAGAAACGACGAAATGTAGCGGAGAGAAATGTTGTTTGAATTAACATAAAGATTGAAAAAAAAAAAAAAAAAAAAAAAATGCTTGGCTGAAATAAAGACGAAGAGTGTACTACATTCTTAGTCTTTCGTTTAAGTCTCCAAGTTATTATTGTAGAGTTTCCAGCAAAAAAATGGCGCACTGTATGGCACCATGATTTACAAGATAGTTGAGCGTATTTTACTTCTTTGAATATAATTACAGTTCCATTTAGACTTTATGTGAAAGTCCGCTAAAGCTTAAATTGTTCACAGGTGCAGCAAAAAACAAGCAAGCTTCGCTGTTCCTATTTGGTGAATTTTAGCGTCGTTTTTCAATGCATGCATGGTTGAAGCTCAGTGGAAAAAAGAGAAGAATAAGAAAAATATTTTCGGCATTAAAATGGCTTCTTTTTTAAAATAATAATTAACAATCTATTTTTTTAAAGATGGGCGTGTAATAATCGAAAAAACGCATCAGACAGTTGCCGGACCAAAGTAACTTTACTCCTTCCTTAATTCAAAGGAACTGAATTGATTGCTTTTTTTATACTTGAAAATTTTCAATTGAAAAAAATGTGCGAATTTTTTCTGCAGATTAAGGAGCCAGGAGTGCATTTCAGACTTATCCGATGTGCTTTCCATAAGCTATGAGTTACTCGCCTGAGGGTGGCGTACTATTCTTTTACATATGGTAAAAACATTCATCACATCCATTGACTCAACTTATCTTTGGTAAGGTGAACCAGTGACGTAGTCGGCGGAGGAAAGGAAGGTCTACACGGGCAGTCCTGTAAGTCCTCCCATTCCATGTCCGTCATAAGTTCCGAGAGAAAAAAGGAAAATGCAAAAGATCCGGAAAATTTCGGGAATTTTAAAAGCTCCGGAAAATTACGGGAATTTTAAAAGATCCGGAACATTTCGGGAATTTTAAAAGATCCGGAAAACATTCAGTAAAATCCTAAAAGCTCCGGAGTTTGGAACTAGTTCCGGGAAATGGGAGCACTGCACAGGGTAGAGGGCTCTACCTTCAAACCACCTGGGCCCCTTCCTCCAATGAGAGGAGAATTTTCCTTCGAAAAAAACCACAATTTTTCGTGATTTCCAGGAATATCTTATCATCTCCACTTGAGATTTTTAACCGTAGAGTTTTCCCTTCCCTAATGAGAAATATATTTTTGAAGGTGTAGATACGATGTCCGAATTGAATTCCGCGGAATTCACTAGGCTTCATCGCCGCCCAAGTTGCGAAAAAACTAATGATTCAATTCTAGCGATGTCCGTCAGCTTCGAGTGTAATCGATTGCGCAATGTTTACACATGTTGCATAAATATAGCGGGCGCGTGAGCCCAATATTGACGAAGGAGTCCCTACGAAAATAGAAGACGCGAGAGCTTTCTCTAGCCTTAAGGGCTCCGTCGAAGGCCTCAAACATCGGATTCGATCCGATTGAGATATCAGCCACGTTGCCTCACGAAAGTGTTGCCAATCGTCAGACTGGCCCGAATACTGATCACTCGGTTATTCGCTTCATCGAATGAGCATGCCTGGACTAAATCCAACAAAACATCAATGATGCAAACTCTGGCACAGGCAAAAACCATGCGCACAGAGACGGAGCCAAAAAATGAAGCGTGTCTCCGTTAGAGGTGCATACTGTCAGAAATAGGTCGCTTACTCGAAGTTAAAGTCGGTAGTTGGTGAAGGAATAGCGCATACTTTAGCGCATACATACAAGGGCAAATGATTTGTAACTATATGTTTTCACCCATTTGAGAAATCGGTGAAAAATGCAACAGCTCTATCGCGTGCAGTGCATCAGAGCCTGTTTTTTGATGCAATGCATCGCACGTCAGCCTGACCCCAATTATTGAACCTAAGAAAAATACGTCTAGCGAGTAAAATAAAAGACCAGATTCCGATAACAGTACTCCTGATAGGGCTTTCTAGACTCAATAGATGGATAAGAATCATTTAAGTCAGTCAATGAGGACTTGCGTCTGTAAAAAAAATAAAAATAAGAAAAAAACAATTAACCAGGACGAAAAGCATACTGCATGATTTTATGGCATTTAACGCGTAACACGCGCACCGCCAGATCACGTCAAAAACCGCGCCGCGACAGGAACTAGACAATTTTCCCACCGACAAGGACACAAATATTTCATTTTATAGTTTGCCAGTGTGAGCGTCGGCATATAACTGCTCCCAAAACTGGTATTCATAACACTGGACTAGAGTTTAAATTTAACCGTACAATGACGCAATGTTGACACCGTTGGCTTGATTCATAGATTTCATGATCATTGAAATTCGTTCCCTCGATTTCCGGATAGTTTAGATGGGTCATAATTTGCACAATTTAACGATTTGATCCATAATCCACACGAGAGACGATTGTCTCCTCCCGATTTCCCCTGATTTTTGTTTTTATTACTTCCTTTCCTCATGTCAGATACCTTTCAATAGGCCCCTCTAATGCAATTTTTTGCACAGGCTACTAGTTTCAAATTGTACAATGTTCATAAAAGTGGTTTGTCACAAAAACGCAAAAAACTGTTTTTGAGTACTGTACGTTTTGCTGCGACCTACCTTTTTAATACTGCAAATTAAAAAGGATTTTGGCTATTTTGGCACACGATTAAATTATTTTCCGATTCTCCAATGATGGCTGATCAAGAATCCAAAATGGACCAAAATGGACACTCTACACTTTGGAACTAGTAGCCTCATTTCGTGATGGTTGTGGTATCTCAAAATTTCTCCCATAACGTTTCATTTAGTATAATTCAAGCAAATGTATGTAATTCGTTTTAAACTTTAGCCGAATAATCATATTCTTTATGATTTTACAGTGCTAAAAACGTAAAATATGAGGAATTTCACCTAATAGTTTCCTCTCTGAAATACACATTAGCACTGGAGATTCTGAAACGCCGCAACATAAGAATGCCCCATCTGCATTCAACGCTTGAATTAAGAGATCGTCACGTGCATTGCTGACCGCGTAATAGAATTCTCAAACAGCGTGCCTTTGGTGTAGCTGAAAAATGAGCATTTCTACGCTGTTCCGTCTACCGGTCGATAGAATTTAACTCAGTGACTCAACTTTTTATTTATTTGATTATCAGCCTACGCGGTCACTTCATTAGACACGAGGTGCATGAGCTTGAACTTGAATCTGTCGTTGGCCGTTGGCTAATAGCCTGGGTCTTACCCACGACTGACCAGCTGACCTCGTCCAAAATGAGAGTAATCAAACTACCCGGAATGATCCGATGACAAGCGTGAAATGTTAGTAGGTATTGCTACTGAAAATATTAGGGACCGTGCACCTTAAAAAACATTACTGTGGGGACTGTCTCATAGATAGTGCTAGGCCCTTTATCGATTTTTAAAACTCACTCACCTAGTAAGACACGCATTGAAATCTCAAGAGACCTCTTTATTAATTCAACTTCAAAAAAAAAAAAAAAAAAAAAAAAAAAAAAAAAANTTAAAAAAAAAAAAAAAAAAAAAAAAAAAAAAAAAAAAAAAAAAAAAAAAAATTATGTTAAAAGTTAAGCATACATGTATGTGTCTATCAAGTTATTGTGTAATAATTTTATCAATTTTTCTCGTGTATCGACATTAATAAGTTATCGAAAATAGAGGAAGTTTCCCACTTTTAAATTTTTACAAATCATTCAGGTTATGCTTATTACATTATATATAACCTATCGCCTGATCACAATTGAAGGAGAGAGAGAAGGAGAAGAATATGAAGAAAAAATATGGAGAAAAAATGTAGTAACGGTATTCATCACAGCTAAGAGGATACGAGCATTGTTTGAGGCAAATGAAACCGTGTTGTTTAGAAAAAAAATTCATAGGCTGATAAATAGTTAAATTAATTATATAATATCAAAAATAAAAATGTTAGGTCTTTGATCTAGCATCCTATCCCGACCAATTTAAAAGAATCTCAGCCATGGTTTTTCCTGTCATTTTTTTCACTGCTGCCTAGAATAATAGAGTTTGTGTTTGCATTTTTCCTCAGGAAAAATACGAAATAGAATAGGAAGAACATCTTCTTCAGGGCCGTTAAAATTTGTGCGAAGACTTAGAATGAGTGCGAGCGAACTTATAACTAAAATAAACTAGAAGAAAAAAAGTTATCGTCGTAAAAAGAGCGGAGTAGAGAAGAAGGGGGATGGAGGGAGGGGGAAAGGGGGTGAGTGAGAGAGAAATTAAAAAAACTACATAGTTCAAAACCTCTAACTGAATTTTAGACGAGAGGAGATACTTAATTGATCGATAAATGCGCCAAGAGATCATTAAAAAATTGTCGTGACAAAACTGTATAATTATAAGGAATAAAAAGTTTTATGACCTATACGTGAAGATACTCAAATTAATGTTGGTATCAGTCATTTTTTATGAGCCAAATTTTGGTGATAATTCCGCTTTTTTAATGTAAGAGAGTTAGTAACACGTGTGCGCCTGGGTTAAATTTAGATACAGGTAGTATTAACCTCAGATGCTCTACATGTTCTCATCAGCTAGAACGATACGTGGACCTCGGGTGTCTACAGGGCCGCAACAGTAGGCAATGACACAAACATTTTTGGTCGTAAGTAACAATTTTTCCGTAAATTTCCGCTATTTTAAAGTGAATAATATTTATATTTTTTTCATATCGAAAGGATTATAAGCGCTTTTAATCTCATCATCATTATAAATAGATTACCCTTTTGTTTATTTATAATTCCAGCTGTGGTAAACGTCCATCTACTTTTTCCGCGAAATGAAAGCATGTTGATCCGTTTCTCTTCCAGTTTTACTGGCTTCAATATGCGTACCATTGAATTCACTACTAAATTTGTCCGTGTCAAGTCAATATTTGTTTTAGTAATGTTGGTTTACTTTTTTTTTCGCTCTCTAGTCTGGATTAAAAAAAACGTAAAAAAGTCGATCTTCCTTCCACTTTACAACCGGGGAAGAGGGTTATAAAATCTTTGTAAAGGTACTCAGTACTACTTTCCTCAATAATTTATGAATGATTACGTAAGTTATCGAATGAAACGGAGGGCAAAATGTTGAGTGATGAGCGCGTTAGAAAAACCGGGAGGAATATTCGCAACTATCCAATAATAATCCACTAAGCTTCGATAGTCAAATTTGGCCGTGTCTGCTTCATTAAAATTTGTTGTTTTCGCACCCGGAATACCTCATTCCTTCGCGGGTACACAGATGAATGTATCACGGGCGTATCGATCATGACAAACTGAGAAAGATATGTGCTGCGCAGGATACTGAACGCGCGGTTAGCTGTGCGGCGGGAATATCCACGCAACACTCTGTTCCGTGTCTACTATTGGGGAATCCGAATTCTGACTTGTGACGTCACTCGATGCGTAAACCGGAACTCCGGAGCACGCGATCATGCAGCTGTGCTAAGGAAAAACGTCATATGAGCCTTCAGGCGTTGCCAAAGTGTCTCTGATAAAACACGAATTTTCAGGGGAACTTGTGTATACTTTCCTTCCAACTTTTTAGAGATTTTTATTCGCAATTGAAACTTCAATAACTGAAAGTATAAAGCAAAAACATTCGTATATTTCCTCAAAAGTGAATTTTTTCTAAGCGAAAGTTTGGTAAAATGTTGATGTTCATACGTCGTTTTTCGTTAGCACGGCAGCAAGGTCGGTGGCACGACTCTTTACCTATCTCTATTTTCTTATCCATGCGTTGAAGTCTCCACGTAGGACACGGTGAATATGGCGAAGTGTTTAAAATAAACGATGCGATTTGAAAGTAACGAAATAAAATATCACACATCACGTAAAATATCACAATTTGACCTACATTTATTTGAAAATAGTGCAGCCCTAGATTTGCACTATTGGTGCGTGCCCAGACGATAAAGCTGTACATTTTACATTTTTTCTTGAACATTTTAAGTAAAAGTAAAATAGGATTGTATTTCACAAGGCAAAATTTATTTTTATTAGAATCATCTTGGGAACAACATAAGTTCAATTATTTTTCCTATGCAGATAGAGACTTCTATATAGGTTTGCTAGATATATTCGGCCATTTTTGTGTAAATGCAGCCCATGGAACAGAGTAAATTTGTACCTACACGAAACGTGGTGCGAAACTTTTATGGTCTGCTCTTGTTACTTTCGCCGCAAAATATCCCGAATTATCACGTAAATTTGTCATAGTTCAGCTTCCTAAAGATGTTTTCCCCAAATTAGTCTTCAGCCCATCAAATTTACAAAAAATATAGTTTGCATCTTATTACCCAAATTCATGGTTCCATTTGAAGCCAAATTGTCTGATACTGTAATCTCCACAAAGAGTTCGGCAAACGTCCAATTTAATTGGACATTTGATAATGGACTGAGGTTTTATTCAGAACGATTCTATTTTTTTTAAACGTTTTAAGATTTTTTTTACGCTGTATTAATTAGCGCCAAGAAACGTAGCCCGTCATTTGAGACATTAGTTCCTATTAAAACTACCAAGGATTATATTATTCTCTACGAATCAATTTTGCTCTTTGTCAGCGGAAAAAACCGTCTGAACTAAGCTTCCGTCTAATGAAATATTTTTTCAGTGGGACCCCTGTGGAAAAACTATCAATATAGAATATGGGGGGCATTGAACCATTCAACAATTTGCTGACGATGCTTAAAAAATATAGCCTCCATCCTGATCTCATGCAAAAATCAGACTTTATGAAACAAATTGCACGAGTACATTCTTTTAAAAAATTGAATGGTCCGAGACAATTTTGCAACTTTTTAATGGCGTTACGCTTCTTTGTCTGGGAAACGACGAACTTTGCTAAGGATATAGCCTCTCAATCGTAATGTTGCCAGTTGCGACTCTGGCAAATCGACATCAGCGATTTTTCTCCATTCAAATACATTCTAAATAATCGATTCTAGTGGTAAGGCGTGAATCGATTGGCGATATTTCCCCATATGAGCCCATGGTAAAGAATCGATTTTCAATGTGTCCGTTGCGAACACTCTGTCTATCGATCCTTTTCCATGTGTTTAAATGGCAGATCAATCGATATTTTACATAACACGCCACGCCACTGATCGATTCTGAATGAAGCAGCCATTTCCGACACAACGACTATTTTGCATAGATTTAAAGAACGAGACGCAATTAGGCCAACTTGCAAGAATTGCCGCTGTTGCGACTATTTGGATTGTAGAAGAAATTTGTGCATTGATAGGATCATAAAATACTTACTCTGACAATTTTTCTTCAATTTCTTCATCGGTGCATTTGTTGACCTTCTCTAGAACCTCCTCATAAGTATTTGGCACAGAGTAAAATTTTTCGTCTATTTCCAGATTTGGACAGTTTGCAAACGCAGTTGAAACGTGAACTATCGACTGAAAAAAGAAAAAGGAAAAAATGATTAGCTTTTCCATCTGGAAAGATCAGAGTAAGAATTGATAAGGCAGCTCTATCCTCACATTTTCACTATTTGCATGCAATTTTCAACGACTATCACCCAAATATGTCGAACAGACTAACACACCCCGGTCACCTTCACAAGGAGACAACAGAGGGTTTCAACATCATCACAACACCATTAACCTTATTGCAGTAATATATTTTTGAAACAACGAGGGGTTGAATATTTCGTTATTTTTTTCAATTGGTCCTCTTAAGGCACCTACAATATGTTAATATAGGAAAGCATTAAGTTAGAGAGCAATCCAAATATGAACCTCTAGAGGATGCTCAGTGGGGATTCTTGAAATTTGGCAACACCGCTTTTCCTCCATTTAAACGTATGTAAACAATCAATATCTGCCTGAGACAGGCTGTCTAACCTAATTTTTAATTCATTTAAATGGGGCAAAATCAGTGTTGCCAACCAGAAAAAAATGCCACTGATGATGCCGTATACTCCTAGAATTCAAATTATCATTGGACATTTTTCTTCAGAAAACACAGTTCCTCCCAGCAACCGTAGGTCTCCTTAAAAATTGTAACAAACAAACTTCAAGTTTCGGGCTCTCATCATCTTAATGCCGAAGTTACAGAGTTTTCGCCTTTGAAAGTTTAAACTATATTGTTAGTTCTTTGTGCGCATTCAAATAGCACCCAGCACCCAGACTACCTAATGCTACATGATAGAATTATGTAACCATGGGCGCATTTTTGCAACGAACGGAGAATTTGCAGAGTCGACACCTTTTCTCCGAAAAATTAATTGGCATTTGAATGAACTTGAAAGACTGAAGGCTGTTAAGGATGTATTTGTTCCATTGCAAAATTGCTTTGGCATATATCTGCATAATCTTCCATGGGATAGAGTGGCGGAGACGCCCTCATCGAATGAAATCCATAACCTGTGACGTTGCATGAAAAAAGACCCTTGGGTTCATTTAGGTTGATATTAAGATACGTTTGAACCACCTCAATTCAGAGAACAAAGGTAAAGTTAACGGTCACACCATAAATCATACATCTTACGGTTATAGAATTTCAAATCTAATCTGCTTGTTGGCCTGGTGGCAGATTATTTAAGAAATACATGTACTTAGGTTATGGGATCTTTATAGTTATGGAACAGAAAATTGCAACGTTGAATTGGAAGTTTTAAGAGGAGGATGAAAAAGAAAATAAGAGAAGGAGAAGAAAGCAAGGTTACTTTTCTTAATATAGTTATCTTTGCATTTTAAAGAATGTAAAATTTCAGAATCAACATTCCGCTCCATATCTCAAAAATGTTGGATAGCACTTCGAAGACCAAAAAGCGGAACCTCGTATCTCCATTTGTGACGTTACAGACTTCCATTAATGCTTTATTAATTCTTTGGAAATCTAGTCGACGTAATTTCTTGAAAACTTCCTTCATTTTTCTTCTTCGTGCAGCAGAATATTCTGAAAAAATCTGAAATTATGAAGTTGGCTTGTTTCTCCTCGAAAAAATAAAATATAGGGGCAGAAATTTTGAAATACCGTAAAGGAGATACTCAACCCATGGTTGAGCTGGCAATGAAATTTGCTCGGTCTACGTCTTGAACTTCTTCAGTTGGGTCGAGTTAAACAGAAAGGAACCAAGGCACATTAGATGTTACCAAATTTAATTGGGCATCTTGAATTATTACATGAAAACGGTTGTGCAGATTTTTGCACAAATTCAGTGCATTTTTTGCACTGCACGGAGCAAATCCCTTAAAATTTTCAAAGGAATTCGCACATACGTTCTCTTGTAAAAAATTAAATCTCCCATTTAAATTTGGCGATAGATGATGTGGCTTGGTTCCTTTCTGCAATACGCGGTCTAGCTCTTCCCCTAAACATATTGAAAAAGTTAATTAAATATCATATGCACCTTTCGGGCAAAGCCCATGTATTCAAGGTGAGGCTACACTGGTAAAAAAAAACCTCTTGGATAAAATAAAGCCGCATAATATGGCGCATAATAATGGTTTTGGACTAAATAAAATAGAGTTTGGTGATCCAAACTAAACTTTAAATTTCACTAGAATAGAGAGTTAATAAAACGGAAAATACAAAGGCTTGGATAAAACAAACAAAAAACTCAAAGAGAAACAAAATTAACTGAACCAGAAATATATGAAACCCACAATTTCCTAAGAGAACTATTAATAAATGTCCTGAAATTATATTAGACATTAATCGAATTCTCATATTCTCGAATTTCTCATTTAAATATGCCGCATTGCATTGACTTAAGAGCAGTGCAGTTTCTTGTCGCCGGATTTAAAAGTCTTGAACTCTTGTTTTAAGCGGATTTTGCATTGATTCAAGCGGATTTTTCATTGAAACAAGAGTCCAGACTCTTGAATCCGGCGGCAAGAAACTGCACTCTTGAACCAAGAGGTTTTTTTTTACCAGTGTAAGCCAATTTTATACTTATTTTCATAATTTTCACCTTGCTATTTGCAACAATGTTTAAGTTCTTCTCCTGCCCGATGGTCCACTTTAAGGAGGAAAAAGTATGGTGGGATTGAAACTCACGGAGCGTCTACGGTCTCATAGCATGAAAAATGAAGGAAGTTTGAGTGATTGGCGGAGAGTACTTGTGCCCTTGGAGGTCGGGCGGGATGGAGCGCGGAGTCGGGGACGGCACTTACCTTTAGATTTTTGACTTGTTTGGCTAGCTGCAGAATGGCGCGACTGCCCTCGACGTTAATGGCGAGCGCCTGCCGGAGAGGCTCGTTGAATCGGACGGTGGCCGCACCGTGGAAAATGATGTCCACTTCATCCGTGATCAGGTCTCGGTCTTGCTGACTAATTCCCAGACCAGGAAGGGAGCAGTCCCCGGAAATCACTGATACTTTGTGGTAGTATTTCGGAACCTCGTGCTTCAGCCTTTTGAACAGCTGCAACAAACGGAAAAAAAAACCCATTAAGCCTTGAGCGAAAAACGTTTCAAATTAAAAAATGCAAATTTTCATAAAATAAATAAGGCCATTGAGGCTCTTTGGACACTGAACCCTCCACAGATGTCTCATTTGTCCGGTCCACCCGCTCTGGAATACGTCCATATTTTGAAAGTCCAATTTACGCACCACACAAAATCTCACAAGAAAACATTGTTACGACAATTTAAAATTGTTTACAACAATGACAACCATTCCGATAAATTGTTTGTTGTTTGTTATCACATTGTTTTCTTTGCAAAATTTCACAAGGGAAACACATCACACAACGGAAATCTGAGAATCGGCCCCTAGACAAGATGTAAGTGCTTTACAATTAACATAAAATTGCGAAAATAGAGTTGACGTCATTTGCTTACTTCCATAATTTCATTTGATCTGTATTAAAAACACTTTTCAATAACTCTTTTAGGAGTTAATTCTTGACCCTTCCGTTGTGTGAATTTTCATTCAATGTTAGATTTCATTTGAAAAGCGCCTCTTAAAATGTATAATGAGACGATAGAAACATCAAAATTTGCAGTGTTAGTCAAAAATTTCATGTCCGACCTGTACCAGTGGCTCGTTTCATTAGGCGTCTAGATGTATACTTGGAGACTTAAACGCTCGTGTAGAAAAGTGGCAAAATTGTAACGCATGCTTATTGCGAATCGAGACGCGGACTTTCCCATTTCTAAAAATCCTCCTATCTAAAATCAGGTCCCTTCCCTTCCGATAAACTATCTTAAAATGTAAAAGAACTGTACTGTTTACGAATAAGAGGAATACAGGGTGTCCCAAAGTTTCGGGCGAATAAGGTCATTCTACGCGAAATCATCGAAGGACTGTTACTTAACCGATCCCAATTTGTTTATCTATCCAATTGAAGTACAAACTACGTTTTTACCTATATTTTCAACTTTTTCCGGTATTTTTTCTTATTTTTTTGGTAAAACACTGCTTTAAGTTTGAGAGTCTCGGTTGAGGGAAAAAAGCAGCGTTTAGACAACAACAAATTGCTGGAGAAAAGTTAAAAATATTGGCAACAATACACAGCCATCAAAGAATTCTACTCTCAGTTATGTTAAATACAGTAAAAATATAAGCGATTATACGCATAATAACAATGAGAACTATATACACATCCCCACGATGTCTATATCATTCGATTTTTTCGCGATCTGAAAACTCTGCCTAGTTTTGCGGACCCAATAAAGCTGTTATTTTAATTTGCTCCGGCGCACAGTGGATCGAATCAATAGGAGACGTCGGACAACATTTGGAAACTTTAAACGCCTATAACTCCGTTCATACAAAACTTTGAGGTTCCAAAAGTGGTCCCATTGGTTTTCTCGTAAAATTTTCTTCTTTAAGCACCCCTTGAAATTTAAAATGTAACGGAATGAGCATTAAAATTTGCAGTTTTAGTCAAAAATTTCATGTCCGACCTCTCTAATTGACTCAATCCACTGTGCGGCGCGCGCGCGGGTTAAAATAGCTGCGGTGAAGTGCGCGTCTGATTACTCTCAGTGAGACATAAACATTCTCAGGCGTCTTTATGCCGCTATAGCCGTCGGTAAACCTCTGTTTTTATAGGGAGACAATTAAATGAATCTTCCTAGATATAGCATGCGCCTCCATCAGTCTCACATGATTACTCCTTCAAGTATATTTTCTCTTCATGAGTGGACGCTACGCATAAGACTCAAACTCTACATTTTCGTGATCGCAGTTGAAAAAGATCGCAAATCGATTTGCGACGTCGAAATTTTTTTTATCAGACAACATGACATTTCCTGATTGACTAATAATTCATCGAACAATTCGAACACAGATGGCGTCGTACATAAAAAGATCAGATTGGATTTTTTTCATAGTTTAAGATTACCTAAATTCAAAGGAAAACCTAATAGGAAAAATAATTGTTTCAGGAACGACTACGAATACAGTTCATAGCGTCAAAGATCGCGTTCTACTCTTCAGACTATCTGCTCTCATATATTATAATTCATCGGAACCTAAGACCTGAGACCCGCCTGGCAAGAATAAACGGAGGAGGGGGGAAAAGTACTTACAAATTATAGGGGAGATTTAAGTTACATAAGACTGCGGGTTTGATTTCCACGGTGAGTTTCTCTGCGGAAAAACCGGAATTGTGTTTGTCTCACATAGATCTCCGTTCCGAAAAAATATTAATTGGACTGCTTTTCTCAGTTCTTAGTACCTGTTACATAGTTGAATCTATTATTTCCTTAGAACCCAAGGTAAAAATAAAATTTTGGTGATTACTAAATTTAAGTATATGATGTATAGTAATGATGTGATAGTGTATTGTACGTGTAGAAAATGTGGCAGCTATAAACTAGGTCCCTAACTGTGCCTCCACGCGGTTGGTAAACTTAACCACATGCATGATCAACACTGACAGAAACCTGGTACTATAGTTACTAGATTTTTGGGATCATATTGTGTAATTAGGGATCTAATGACCACTAAAATTAATTTTCCTTCGTGTCTGAACTTCAACTTTAGTGGCCCTAAAAGTCGTATTTTAGGACTCTCTTTTACTTTTGCGCAAATCTCATACTCAAAAAAGGAAAAATTCCAAAAATAAATCAGCTAATATTAAAAGAGGTGGAAATCCTACAAGTCAAACAATTTGTAAATATCGTCAAATAAATAGTATCGTATACGTTTAAATTGACCCTCCATAAAACAATTAATCTTCAAAACCGAACTGTTGCAAGTACCATAAATCTGTGTTCATTACACGTCAAGATTTTATATAAATAAACAAATTAGACTTAAACTTCCGCGACCCGAAACAGCATGTGCCAAGTTACGGAGGCACTATCCTACGCTCTTCGAACTTGACCATTAAATCACACCTTCCTCCATACACCAAATTTAAACTGGTCTTGTTTTGGCTGGTTGCGCAGTCAGACAAAGAGGCCAGAAACCCATGCGCAGAATGCCTCATGGTCACTAGCATACAAAAATGCGGTAGTCAACTATGAACGTCACTTGGAAATAAATTCATTTTTATTATGACTTTGACCACAATGGGGATAAAGTGACACTAAACGCTGCAAAATGATACACAACATGTGCGGAACAGACCCTTCTCGGCACGGTAGTATTACTCGGCCTTATTAAGGAAGAGGGCAATTAATAACTCCAAAAATTGTTATAGCGAAAAGAGATACTGCCTTTTCATCGGTGCGATGTGGAGTTACTGATTTCCTCCGGGGAACGACGTCAATGTGTCAGAGGCGCTCATGATTTTAAATTCATTTTCTGAAAATATGCAGTAAACTAAGCTTTTGTCCATTGCAACCACCCGGTTCCACCGATAGGATCTGTCCATTTCCCCCTTGACTTCTTTGTCTACTGCCAAAGGCGGATCCAGCGATTTGGCACCACTGGCTTTCCTCCATTTAAACCTGTGTAGGATAATCGATTCTTGTCAGAGCAGTCTTGTCTGCCCCCTTCGAAAATCGATACATTTCCATAGGTTTAAATGGAGGAAAATCAATGTTGCCAATTTGCTGAATCCGCCGATGTCTACCGCTATGTCTATCAATGCCAATAATCAGTCTACAGCTTTGGAAATTTAAACATTTTTACCCAACGTCTCAAGTTCGTACCTAAATTCTATGGTCCTACCAATATAAACAATTCTCTGTGTATAATTTTCGCGTTAGAAGTTGAAACAAACGTGTGGCGTGAACAGAGAAACACGGAACAAATATGTGCAAATACATTCCCGTGCATAATATCAAGCAGATGGGTCCGCTATATCATGACCCCCAAAAACCAATTCCATCCGTCAACATAAGGCCGCGGTCTTAAGTATTAGTTAATCCGCGCCTTGATTATTTGACTAACGGTCCGATTTGGTTGCGAGAAAACCGCACGTCGCGTCATTTCTGCAGTTATTTATGGTCATGAATTGCTCTTTGTCAAACCTAGAGATGAATCTCATTATCGATGTCAGCGAAACGTTGACGCCGACGAATATTCTTTCCCGATTGATACATGTTTCCTCACGTTGTATCATTCGAAGCGATCCGGTCACTAAAGCAATTCAGGGTGATTTTTGATTAATTAATGGTAATTAAATTTAACTGATACTTTATAAACCGCATCGGTCAAATTGAAAGTGGTTCGGCAACAATGTGAGACCATCGTCCCGTCGCATCACGTCAATGCCAAGAATGTGGTTTGATTCAAGTTCGATACAACAAGTGCCGTTCACCTCCAGTCTCCCCCAAAGATCCGATGCCCAGTGCCCGGCCCAAAGGATGTCCACCTGAGGATAATGTGGAATTCTGACGACTCTCTTAATTATTCAGTCTTTTTTTCTGAAAACCGCGCTGGGAAAGTGTGTGTCGTTTTTCAGTGCGTACGTTTTGAGCTCGATAAGTGGTCATCCCTCCATTCTTTACTGAGCTCTCTTTGAAAATCCGATCACTCAGGCTGCCACAGACTCAATCGCAATACTGCCGTGCTAAGGAAGAACGCCGTATGAGCCATTAGGTTTTCTTCCGAAAAATTACAACTTTCAGGAAAATTTGTCAACATTTCTCTTCCAATTTTTTAGGAGGATTTCGTTCGTAATTTGATGTAAAAAGTCTGAAAATGTCAAGGAAAAATATTCGTAACTTTCTTCCGAAATAAATATTTTCTGTGAGAAAAATTGACGATATTTGATTGCTCATACGGCGTTTTTACGTAGCACGGCAGAATAAGTGGTCTGCTCGTCTGTAGGCTCTCGGTCAACGATGAAAAACAGCGATTTTAATTGTTGATCCGCACAAATCAAACTATACAGGGTGATCCAAAAGTCCCACACCACCAACACCATGTAATTGTTGGACAAATTTAGATTAGGACTTGAAATTTTCAGATCAGGAGGTGAGGTGCCAAATGCCTGATGATCTCTGGGAGGATAGAAGGCAACGGCGACTGGGCATCGCAGAGCGCGAGGCTACGCTGTGAAAGCGGCTTTGTGTATATACTTGAAATTTTATCCAAATACCCAAAAAGGACTAATGGACTCTAAAAAATAAATTTTAACTTGATTTTAATAGCTAACATAAACATAAGTTTAATAGTTAACATAAACATAAGTTTAATAGTTATCCAATCAAATTTAACCATGTTTTTAACAGTTTTCGAAGGCTCTTTGCTACTAGGGTAACCAAGGATTCAATAATGTCAGCCCTGTGATGTAAAAGCGTACCTCGATTTCCCTGCGAGCCCTACAAAGCATGGATTTAAACGTGAAACAAGGCTCACGTGGAAATTGAGAAACACCCTTACGTCAAAGGGGCCAGGAGCGGATCTAGCAATTTGGCAACACCAGGTTTCCTCCATTTAAACCTATGTTAAATAATCGATTCTTGTCGGAGCACCTGGCCCCTCCAAGAAGCGATACATTTCCATAGGTTTAAATGGCGAAAAGCCATTTAAACCTATGGAAATTGCCAGAAAATTGCCGTTGCCAATTTTCTGGATCCGCCAATGAAAGGGGCAACGAATTTTGAAAAATGTCAAAAACTCGGTACTTACTCTATCTGAGAAAATATCGTCAAGCCTTTCGTGGATGGCCTTCCCCTTCTTGGGTCTGATGAGAAGGTAAATGTGTTTGACGTGGGGGCACGATCTCAACAATTTCTCGATGAGAACTTTGCCCATGAACCCGGTGCCACCCGTCAAGAATACCGTGGCTCCGCGGAAGAACTCTTGGATCGGGGTGCCGGTGACGTCATCGGGTATCTCCTGGGGCTCTTTGAAGCTCCTCTCGCCCAAGAGTGAAAGCGGGTCCAGATAGTACTTGGAGTTTTTCATGTCTTTCACCACGACGAGAGGCTCGATCAAGCTCTGTTGATTCATGCCCTGCACCTCGGATTTCGGCGCCATCGTGTAACGGACTGTCGATTGCTTCGTCGGTGGAAAACTCTGTGTTTTGTAGCGCGGTTAGTGTCTCTCCTCTTCCTCACAATTCCCGCGCGGTTATTTTCATAGCGGCCGGACGAGGGGATAAATTACGCTGATTCAGGAGTGTCGACTTGTCCTTTCCCTGAAACAAGAAGAGTATATCAACTTAATGAGACTGGTGAAAGAAAAATAACAAATGGGCCAGTTGCGCTGGTAATAGAATCGTGTTTTGATGCTCGATTCTTGTAGATCAGCCAAAAATGAGATCTGTCCGAACAGCAACTTTCCACGTTGAATATTAAGCGAGAAATCGCGCCTTGAAAAACTCGATTTATGACGTCATCCACCGCGATAGTACATACCATGTTATGCACCACCGCGGTGGATGACGTCAAAAACCCGACTTTTCAAAGGACGATGTCTCGGTTAATGTTCAACGTAGAAAGTTGCTATTCGGACGAATTTTCTTATTTTGAGCTAATCTACAAGAATCAAGCATCCAAACACGATTCTATTACCAGCGCAATTGGCCCATTAAAAATATCTGAGTTACATATCAAAATTCACTGAAATTAACACAAAAATCCGCACAACCGGAAACTTGATTTGAAAAATTTAGGCATTTCCGTAACACGAGAGGCGGATCCAGCAGGTTGGCAACACTGGCATCTTCCGTTTAAACCCGTATTCTGCCTTGCTAAGGAAAAACGCCGTGTGAGCCTCCAGGCGTTGCCAAATTCCCTTCGATAAATACCGAATTTGCAGGGAAAATTGTGAATATTTTTTACAAATTTTCCAGACAATTTCGTTCGCAATTTTATCTAAAACGTCTGAAAATTTCAAGGAAAAATACGCATAACTTTCTTTTAAAATACATGTTTTATCCGGAGCAATTTGGCAACTCTCGAATGTTCATACGGCGTTCTTCTTTAGCATGGCAGTATTGCGAATAATCGATTCTTGTCCGAACTCTTAGCCCCTCCAAAAATAGATTAATTTCCATGAGTTTAAATGGAGAGAAAACGACGATGCCAACTTGTTAAATGTAACACGGCAGTATGGATGAGTATTATGGATAAGCATGGCTGCACATTCAGGAATTGCGATTCAAAGGTGCAAATTTATGCGCGAAGTCCCTCGCGCGAATTTCGCATCCGCTTTACGGCGAATTGTGGACAATTCGCAGTACCCAGTACTCAATTACTTCCATTGAATAGAGCGTTCCTGTTCCTGAGGTTTGTGCGAAATTTGACATCAACGCGAGCGTAGTGAGTAGGTCAGTTACTTTTGATCCTCGCAGTGGAGTTCAATGTCAAGTTCAGTGAGCCACGGATAAAATTAATTCCACGTTTGTGTCTAGCGTTCACTATGCCTGTGGGGAAATTGGAGCTAGAGAACTGTGAGTTCATATATTTAATTGATGAAAATATACGTTTTGTAATGGTCGGTGAAGAAAATGCACCATTATAAAAACAAATGAGCTTTTCCCGCCATAGCAAAGATTTGCTGCACTCATCTTCCTGCCAAATTTCTATTAAACGAAAATCAGACTAATATTTCGGATTTTATCATTCAGTGGGGGGCAAGGGGGATGCCAACCTCCCCCGAAATAAAATTTCCTCTTTGTGGAATCTATTCTTATAATCTTCTTTTTCATCCCCTAAAATTGTGGTACTACCCCGAATGTTTGGATGACATGGACATATCAAATTGATATTGTTAGTACTGCAACATTTCTGATAGGAGCCTAATGTATTAGGATACTACCACAATTCATTCGAAACGTCCAAGTTGGGACTGAGCCCCTTCCTCATTTTCTCGGAGAAGTTTGCCGAGTAAAACACTACTCGCAAATGCATGGATAATCTGTTGAAGTTGTTACGTGCGATCTTCAGCTAACCCAATAGTATTCCGACCATTCCTGAATTACAAAATATAGCTCCGAAATTCTAAAGATTCTAGGCGCTTTTTTCGTTCAATGACGGCAATAAATTTAGATCCAATTATTGCACTCTTCGGTCGAAAACCAGAGTCACCGTGGGAAGATATACTTTTGCTTTCCATAATCATATTTATGATATTCAGCACTGCCAATGCAAAGCCATCTTGCCTTCTTCCGGATTATATTCGGAAACAAATGGCCCTGCAAATGTAAAGCACGGGGAAAAAATTGAGATTAAAGGCAGTCGCGGGTTGATATCCGGTGCGTTTTGCTACCGCGCTCAGGAAAAATGACTAAATGGACGGAGTTAAACAGAAAGGAACCAAGCCACATCGGGATCGAACCGAGAAAAAGAGGTTTAAAGTTTGGTCCTGCATAAGACTCAATGTAAAAGATAAACTTCAAGTTCAATTTCTACAAAATTTGCTCCAACAAAAACTTTGAATTTTTGGTGATAGATAGTAGAGCAGTGGTTGAGTTCAAAACCACTCATTACTCAATTTTTTCCAAAATGTGGGTTGGTTCCTTTCTGCTTAACTCAGTCCAAATGACTATCGAAAGTTGCCAAAATTCCTCTGATATTAGTAATTTACCACGGAAATTTGGCAACATTTGAGGGCCCATACGGCGTTTCTATAGCTCGGCAGTAAAGGATCAGAGATTTTGACATTCTAGCCCTGATTCCGTCTTCGAGTTCTCACGAGGATCCAACGTTACGTTTAGAGACGCATGTTACGAAACGATGCCTCAAATTTGAATAAATCAAGATGAACGTCTTCTTTCCAAAAGATCCAGCAATTTACTTACACCGCCAAGCTCTTAGTTTCAACATTTTCCCTCATCGATTACCGAACTTTAATTCCGCAGCTTTTAAATTTGTATGTAAAGTGTCTGTTATAAGGCCACCGAAGATTATTATGCACACGCCACCAGAGTTGCCCAATTATGATATAAAACTTCAATTATTTTTCTCTCAGTTTGAAGGTGAATTAAAAAATTATTTCAAAGCTCTCTGAAATCAAAGCAACATCAAAATAAAAAGAATAAATTTATTTACAGATTAAACTCTCAAGGATTTGTCTGAATAGTGTATTCGAAAATTTCTGAGCATCAATAAAGAAAATAACCACCAAAAGATATGATTTTATCGACTAATGTAATTAACCGAATAGAGAAGTCTTGAATCTTTTCCTTTCATCCAAATCCATGTGGGTGTCTTGATCTGAAAAACATAATCGACGCTCAGTATGGTGGAGACTTAACTTTAGAAATAGATTTTATAACGAAATTTCAAGATAAATTGAATAAACCATCTAAGTTTAAATTGATTTCAACATTCATCTAGATAGTAACTTAATTCACCAGCGTGTAAAAAATCATAATTAACATAAATATGTAGAGTAAGATATACAGTCTAGAATGTAGTATGAAATTGCACTAGTTTTGAAATGAGTATGAGTGAAAAAAAAGGAAATTCAGTTTGTTGAATCTTCATCGATAGTTTATAGTCAATTTGAAGGGTTCTCGAATGAACTTAAAATGACCATGATTTCCAAAATTTGAGCATCACTTATAATTTATGGCAATATTCATCGCAACCTTGCATCCTCCCAATAACGATATACGGTAGGCTTTATTCCTTGGACTTAAAAACTCATAAAAAATCGACGGGTAAGAATTAGCATGTCGTGTCTTTGCATATAGTAAAGAAGACACTAGTATTCGATATTACAAGCTTGGACCAAAAATTAATCTTGGATGCTGCCAGTTCGCTATGCGAGATCAGAATGATTGAAATTTGATCACTTTCCTGGTACAAACAAACGCAATTCACCAATGAACGCACGGAAGCTCGTAAACCAAATTCCGTGTGAATCTCTCGCATTCATTATCAATTTTTATCGTAGATTTGAATTCATATTTTCCTCCTCATTTTTATCCAGCTTCTCTTTTTGTAATTAAGAGTATCAGATCAAAATCCAAAAAGCCAACGTTATGATCACAGTTGTAAACGTTAAAAGTCATTGTTTTTTCTGCATAATATGTGGAAAATTCTTATTGATTAGAAAAACGATCTCTCATAAAAAATGGCCAAATACTGCAGGAAAAAGTGACAGGGGTGACATTCATACTTTTTTGAAAAATACGACCGATGCTGATTGCAAGATTAAAACAATGAGACAAAGAAAAAAATGAATGATTAATTGATTAATCAACTCATCTATCATCCGAAATTTAGGGGTGAGAAATATCACTTAGGAAGGAAGGCAGTGCCCCCTCCCCTCTTTCCCTGTCTACAGTCGTGCTATCAAATTCTTCCCACGTGCTTTGTGTGATTTAACAACTAATCTAATAGTACCCCAATCTCCCGATATGATGAAAATTTCCTATTACGCCGATCAGGCTCTCATTTTACTTCGTCTATTTTACTGCTGTCTCAATTTCCAACAATCAAGTCTTCAACACAATCTATTACGCGAGCTATCCACTGGGTGGAACTCATGTTTCGCTGACAAAAACGATTTCGGATGCTCCAGTGAAATGTTACCCAAGGCTGTCATCTGAATCAGAAAATGATGAGAATGGACCGCGGAGAAATTGGCGTGAGATAAAATATTCTCAAACGAAAAAGAACAAAACTGAACCAAATCTAAGTTTGTGTAAGAATCACGGAGAAAAATAAAATCAACTTCACTTTAACTTCCGCCGGATGTGTTGGAGTGCACATGTCGCCTAATGGAGAAAATATGTGCGAATGGACAGGAGGAATGTTCTGAGGACAGTCGCCGGCTGTGCAGGGCCGGATTTACTTACTTGCCGCCCATGGGCCGCCTGTATTTTTCCGCCTCCTTCTCATTCGTTTTGAAACATCAATAAAAACCATCAAGTGAACGAGCCGGAGGGGGAGAGGCCTATAAGACGCGTTTACTCGTGTTGGTCACATTTTTTGCGAAAGCCCTGTCAACACTACTAGCAAAAGTTCACGGAGCTTGGCGCGAAAGTTAAGTTCCATAAACCTATCTCTGTATGGACAAGGCCCTTCATTTATAAAAAATGAACCAAAAAATTATGAAAGAACAAACATAAATACATAAAAACAACGGTGGGTAGAGGGCATCCATGAAGAGATGGAGAGATGCCAGCTTCCGGAGGATCTCTACCATGACAGATTCCTGTGGAGAATAGGCGTCGCAGAGCGC